CAAGTCAACAAAAACAAGAAGAGAAAGTTATTTGAAATTACAAATCTGCAATTTGAATTTTTTGATAGATTTCTTCTAAAGAATAGTAAATGAACAAACGGTGGTAATCAATACAATTTAAAACTTTTTTATATCACAACAAAATAGATGTCATTGAGGCTGGAACTTCAAAAATATATCAACCTCTTGATTGTAGCACATGCAAGGCTACCAAGATCAAAGCAACGTAACCTTTAGCTACTAAACAAACCATAATTTGCATTTGAACCGATGCCGACGATAAGACAAAAATAAACGAAAGTCTTCATTGCTTTAATACTATCTTGATGCTGGACGTATCATTTGTTACTGACAGAATAGTAGCCGATTGTTGTAGTGTAGTCAAAGACAGTAGTCCAATTAAAATCAGAACAGCAATGAAGGCTACGAAGAAATCTATCAAATGTTTTCAAATTGACTTTTGTTTCAAAATCGCAGGATTTAATGACAATAGGTTTTTACTTCATAGTAAATCTATTCATGACAAAAATAGTACTTTAAGTTTACGCGAACCTGTTAAAAGCAGACAGAATGACACTATTACTAAAGAGAGCGACGTGTTAAAAGATAAAAAATATGTATATTTAGTTCTGAAGAACAGTTGATCAACGGATATTTCTAAGCTGTCATATTAACCTATAATATCAGCACGGTATTGAATAAAAGATAATCGAATAACTATTAATCATAATCGGAGATCAATGATATCGATGATCGAACGGAAATGTATGAAATGTTACAGTTAGAGGCAGAAAAAATGGTATCTCATTAAATGCGACACAAAGAAAATGATTATTTCAATATGACAAACATTTGGTAATTAGCACGGAAGTATTTATTTGGTCTGTGCTAATTAGCTACCGGCGAAACTAATGCGACTTGAAGATTTTATCAAAGAGTTAAAGGGCGAAAAAAATATCCAAAGAAACCTGTTTCTGGTCAGTTAATTTACGAGCTAGATTATAGAAAAGAAGCTGATTAAATATCCAAGAAAAAACTAAATAAATAACAGCAAACGACATTCACAAAGTTGGATTAATAAAATTTCGTCATTTGTTTCAATGAACACTTTCATCTGTCTTGCGCTTAAAAAAATTGAAGAATTACAACAACTATTAAAACCAAGAAAGCTAAGTAATAAACAACATTAACAGTTAGATAATTTCCTAGCCTTTACGCCGCAGCATCTTCTTCATAAAAACAAAATTGCACAATCAAGAAAGGCAAAAAGGTGTCCCCAGTGACAACTGTGAATCTCCGCAAATTGGCTGCGTTGAGCTTTACGTGTATTCCAGCGCGAGATATATTGAGTGTCGAGTCTCGTGTGGAAGCTTGTTAGGAAGATGTCAGATGAGTTTGCAGTTTGCAGTTGCATCTCTAAACAGGTATGTAAACTTCATTTTCTTTTGTTTACTTTTATACACTGTTGTAGTAGACAAAACAGATTTCAACCATTTTTGCATATCCTATACTTATAAACAATATTCCTATAACATAAAGGGAGCATAATGTCATCTCTTGTATTCAGCTCAATGATCTACCGAGGTGCACCGTACACCAAAAGAAAAAACGTAACCCGATATCCGTACGCAAGTTGCGTTTCATGAGCCAATGGCTTGGATAGGATGACAATATCCCATGGACGACACATGAGGGAAAAATATACCTTAGAATAACGATGTAAGAGTTGAAAATTCTGAAAAGAAGGACGGCATTTTAGAAGATATTACATGTAAAACAAGAGGCGATGAACATGGCGAAGTGGTTAAGAAATACCACGTCATTTGTTGCAGTAATCGTAAGTAAGTTTTGAGCTTTAAGTTTATAACGCAAAGGTTGATACGTTTGTGATTTAACGGTACATGACATTGGTGACTTCATCCCGCTTTAAGAGAAAACCCTTCCAGCGGGAGGTCCGAATGTCCGTAGTTCAAATATTAATAGTTCATACCAACGATTAATTTTAGAATTTGGAAGCCGAATATAATATCAATTTTGGTGTCGTGGGGTGAATTGAATAAATAATAACGATAAATTCTTTTTCTGTTCGTTGATATTAAAATACACGCACGCTTAGTAAAGATTATGGTTAGAATAAACATTGAATAAATTACTTGTAATGTCAGTGAAATATTTTCACCAATCAAACATAAACACGTAGAATAAATTTTATAAGAAAATTCATTCAAAAAATCAAAATTCAAAAATGCGCATAGGTGGATTTTATAACATACAATTTTAATAATAATGAGTTAAACATTTGAAACCAATCTTAAAAATCACCATCTTAAAGTATTCGGAATCATTCCTTTTTTGGAAGAACGGAACACAGCCGTCGAATCTGAAAGGTAGTCTGATAAATATCAAAATTTTAATCAAGCCTAAATACGGCATGAAACAACCTGTTTCCAACAGACTACTTTAGAAAGAACAATTGTGAATGGGTATTACACCATCAATTTTGTTAAGAAGTACTTCATTAATACAAGGATATGTTCTATTAGCTTCAACTAAATGGCCGTCTAACTAATTTCCAATTCTATTATCCCTAATCTAAACTCTCATAAAGCCAAGTGAGTTTTCCTCCACTATTACCGTGTGACCGTTGCGTTTTTTACGCTCGATCATTAGCTGACAATTAATGTAGCGTCTGCGCCGGCGCATCGCATATGTGGCTAGGACATTGATCTCTGTGTTAGCTATAAGAGGTAAGCGGCTATGTTAATTACAATACCTAAACAAAATAACAAGTTTTATAGTTTTATGCTATTTTACTATTCTGCGATAGTAGTATGATAAAATTCCTTTAAAATTTTACGGCGTCGTTTTAAATACGTAATTTGATTGTCATGACTATGATGTACGACAGCCAACACAATCTACACTGATTATGCTGTGACCTATTTCGAAAGCATTACGTATATTTGTCCACTTCTGTTCCAATAATTTGGGCTATATACATACAATCTCAATCTAATTTAAGTGGAAGATTGTAACTTAGGCCTAAAAGGCCGTTGACTTCTCAAATTATTTAGTAATTAACACCCGAAACATCGCGGCGCCTCGTATTGAACAAAAAATAACCAAAAAACTACTCAACAATGAAATGTAGATATCATTAGCTCATCTACTACAAGATTGGATGTAATCTCTTCTATTAACTTGTCGATCTTTTGTGTTTTTTGCCCATCGCTTATTGGCGATACCGCTGCTTACATTTTTCAAGAATAATCTAACAATTTTGACATGAATATGTCTAATTTTTTAAGACTGATATAATGGTCGCAAAACAAAGTAAAGCTGACCCTGATGTTGTGATTAATGTAAAGTCTAATAAGGACATACTAGAAAAAATCTAAAGATAAATATGATGATAAATATGTAGCTGTATAAAAAATGCTGTTTTTGCCACTAACAAAATTTAAACAAAAAAATAACATTTAACTTTTAAAATGTTATATTATCTATGGTAATTTTCATAATAATATTTTGGCGCACATAAAAATACGCGGGAAAGTTTTGATAACGTTAAAATATACATATCTTTACAAAGCCGACAAGAATTATTGTAGTTAAGTTCAGTTTTACTCTTGTTTCGGGCTTTACGAAATTATTTGAATGGACATGACTTTGATAACGAAGAGACCATCTCATAACTACATTGGAGTTGCAATTTGTGCGTAAATAGTAAATTTTATGGTAGGTTTCCCTTTCAAAATTACCCGAAAGATGGCAAAAGATGTAAATTACCGTGACCAATAAATACATAATTGACTTAAGTTCGTTAAAATGTTTTTCACACATAAAGAAAAAGATGTAGAAAATTGTTACTTCTGGTAATGTAGCCAAATACACCATTTTAAAGCTATTGTGGCCATAAATCTAAATCATCGCCTGACTTTGCAATTTGTTTCTTGACGCGACGTCAAAACATAAAACTCAATCGTAGCCCATTCGCAAGGAAATAAATACATTAATTTAACAACAATATGACTTTCAAGATTTGTCGAAAGATTATTAACTTGGGATTTTATATTTCAAGGTTCCTACACAAGCCTCTTTTGAGTTTTTCACTTCAAGTTCATTTGGAAGGTATTGAGTATAACATTTTGTTAGGTACTTCATAAATCCTTGAATGGCTAAGCGAACCTTCTTCGAAATGCTGTCGGCTTCTTGGTACAATGCGCACATGATTACAGTAATAAAGTATTGGTGTCCTACAGTTTCGTCTTTAGGTCTCTAATCACATCAATCAAAGCCACAGTGACCGTCGTCACACGTGCAACATACAAAGAGCCGTTTTTGAATTGCAATTTGGCGACGCCATCGAAGCCAATTTTTTTCCAATTTCAGAAGAAAACCGGTAACTTTTGGCAGTACTATACACCAATTCGTTCCAGCTTTCATTTTGACTGGATGCCGGTTTAATTTCACTGATTCCACAACCGTATTATGCTATGCACCTTCTATATGTACCTTATGAGCAGTAACGTAAAGTTCATACTTCAAGGACTACAGGAGGGTTGCGTCTTTTACCAAAAAGCAGCCGCCAAGACTCTTATTTCCTTTATATATAAAAATTGTTTTTGAGACTTTAGGAATGAAAACAATAAGCAGATACAAATTGGCGGTGTATCTGTGCTTTACTTCAATTTGATGTCCGTTTTATGATGGATGAGTGACTGCTTTTAGTTATTTGCCGCATGTTATTTCTGTGTCGAAAGATAAGATTTGAAAAACAATTTAAAAACTGATTTTCAAAATGTGTGGCGAAAGAAATATCTCGTTTTAAATAAAAATAATAAAGATATTGAAAGAAATTACTGACTGAGATATCTGTGGTCCGACAGCATGAAGCATCCAGGAAACATATGTAGTCCCCATAATTCCAACATGGACAAAATTGCAGCCTTGGACTATCTATTCGTTAATAATAGAACACATTATCAATTGAAACTTACCTCTGAGCACACTCATCGACATCGTACTCACAAAGAGTACCAGTGAAGGTGGGAGGGCATTCGCAGGTGTAAGAGTTCAGACCATCGATGCAGGTGCCTCCGTTCTGACAAAGGTGGCCGGGGCAGTCGTCAATGTCGATCTCACAGTTCTGTCCTCGATAGCCTGAAAAGAAGATCATAATTTAGAAGACATCGTAAACAGAGCCCATAATTTTATTAAAATTATTGTAACGTTTATTCTACATGAAGAGCATTAAAATGATTGAATATTCAGTAAATATCATGTCCGTTTAAATGTGATGAAAAATAATTATTGATGCTTTGGGTGGCGATAGTGACTTGACTATACATTTGATTAATTCTGCAAGCTACAGTGAATCAAGTTACTATTTTTTAAAAAGTCACTTAATGAGTGCGCTCCATGTTTTTATTCTGATATAAAGTTTGATGCTATGGTATGGTGTAACGGGCTGATGTTCGCAACTCGACGCCTATTTTGCGTGTTATAGAATTAGATATATCAGATAGACACTATACCATGTGTTGCCAGTTGGAAATTTTACATGCAAAACCTATCTACACTAAAGCAAGAGGATGATATCATATTATGACAAAATTTTATTATACCATTAATCACATAATGGGACGAGCTTAATGTTACACAGTCTAGAGTTTTCAAAGTTGATATATTAGAACGTAGAACTATTTTATAACATATTGGTGCTAAAAGCGTGATAAAAAAATTTATAATAAAAACGATTTTCATTCTTTGATTTCATTGATTCACTCTAATTGTGTGAAGTTTTAACATAAATAGATAGGATTGCTAGTTGTACTAGCAATAAAATAAGTTAAAGTAGAAACTATGAATTTTAAAGGGATTAATGACAAAACAGAACAATTAACTGTTGAGTCTTTTAAACTTCAACTTTTAAGGATCCTAAACATCAATATCTACTTAGTTCTAAATTTGTCAATAATCAATTTAAAAAGGAAAATGACACGGTGCAAAAATCTATCAGTATGATGTACCAAAGTGAAATTGAATAAGTGAAACCACGTACAGAAGGAATATAGACTCGATTTCTTATACTTCTCCGTTCCCACGATCACCACATGTTACTGTTTACCAGATATAAAAATACGACGGGCGCCTGGCTTTAAATATTTCGACGCCTTTTTTGCGCAGGCGCATGGGGATAAATATTTTAGTCAACCTAATTAAGGGGTTTAGACTTGGACGGAATCATAATCCGGTTACTAAGTTAGAATTAGTAAAAACAAAGTTAGCTTAGATGTCTACGAAACCTAAATGTGTCAGTATACTTTTGTAAATAATAGTTAATATGTAAATTTATATTGATCCTGATTCTAAGCGACGGACAAATAAAAACAATCTTGAAAATGTTGACAAAACATTTAAATAGTAAGTTAATTGCAAAACCAGAACTTATGACTATAAAAATACTATAAAATATCTCGAAAAACATGATATAAATGTTTATGGGCAACATGACAATTTAATTATGGGATCTAATTATGCATAATGGGGGCGTCGACTGACAGCTATGAAGCAGATCAATACCATAAAATAAGTAGCGGCGAAGACGTTTTGCGTATGCGCAGAAATTTGATACGCTTTTATGGTGACAAATGTTACTACTTAAGTCCCGTAGCTTATTTAGATTCACAAACGTGGGAATAGAAAATGAATCGAATTATAAAAAATAATTATAATAAATAAAATAAAAATCATATGAAATCGTTTTGGTTTGGAATAAATAAATACATAATTAAGTACTGTACTGAATGTCATTGTTGGCGTAAGTGTACACAATGATTTAGAAGCAAGTGGCTTTTAACATTTGTGTTTAATGACGTATCTTCAAAATCTCACGGGGTTACAAATGTAGAAGTACTCAATAAACCAAAGGGAATGGTGGAGCTCGTGAACACCAATAAGCCCAGGAAGATGTCGTATACGGCCACATCATACGGAACAATAAGTAATGCGAATGAAAGTAAAGGGTCAGTAGAAGACGGCACTTCAGGTTAAAGCGTTTGAGGGAATGGTTCGGCTGCAGTACCACCTCGCTCTTTATAGCGGCAGCCTCTAGGATTGCTACGATGTCGTTCAACTTCCGATAGAAGCCGAATTCAAAGAAGAAATATGATTTGGGAGAAAATAATAAGCACTGTACAAAACAAACATGGTAAAAGCTATATCAACAAATCCATTGCTCTTATATTGTAGAATATTCAAAGTATTAATTAATATGAGAATATTACTCATAACTCAAGATATCGAACTGTTACATAAAGAAATAGTTCAGTGACGTCACAACACATGTAGCCTACAAAGTATTCAAATTATGTCCGAGCTGATTGCGTGTGATAGAGCTTACATTATTCATACACCTAACACATTCTTGAGGGAACGTAATTTAAATTCATACATGTTAACATAAAGTTACTTCGGCAAATTCACCATTTTTAGATCTTAGTTATTACGTTAAATAAGGCGATTTTAGATTTGAAATCAATGAACATGAATGTTGGGTTTGACACTTCTACAAGAAGCACGAAAATAAAATGAATGCAGTGGAAATAAGAGCTTTGAGAAGAATGGTTCAAGTAATCCTGATAGACAAATTGCGGACTAGATAAGATAGAGTTGCAGTGTTGAAGAAGATGCAGTGACGAACATAGAGAAAGGGATGCTTTGGTGGTTCGGACACGTAGAGACGATGAGTGAAAGATTTGTAAGGTGAGTGTAAGCGGACAAGTGGGTAAGGTGAACTTATCACTACCAAATTGAGGACATCCTTAATAAAGACCAGGACATGAGTACACTTAACCAACAAGGCAAAAACATTAATTCGTGTTGATGAGGTGAAAGGTGTGTCAGGATCGTAGTATGTGGAAGGATGTGGTGGAAGGGTGGAGGGTTCTGCCTATCCCAATGGAAAAATAACGTGAATTTTATGTATGTAATCTTATTGTCTATATTATACTTGATAACATTAAGCCCCAAATTATTATTGGTAATTTCACGTTTTATTTCCAAATTTGAACTAAATTATATACAAACTTTAGTCTCTAAATGTAGGTTATAATAATTTCTTGAACCACAACTAAGTTAGTCTAATTTTAGTTCTGATTGAAATTTGTCCAAAAATGTTTTTGGAAATTGGAATACGAAGCTTGGTGATGCCACTTCGTTAATGTAATTCCCGATTTTAAAAATAATATCAGCCATACAGTGGTAAGAAACCTTAATTCGAAACTAATCATTTCGCACTCTGAATATAAAGGGACCCCATCAGCAAAATGACAGATTTTCTGGAGGTTTAAGGATTCTACGAACGAAATTAGTTAATAAATTTTTTTTCTTAAATTTTGGAGAGTTAGAAAATTTCACAAACACATAAGTGGTTCGTATTATTTTTAAGGTTTTTGACGTATAAATCACACGTGGCTTTATAATACCAAGAATATAGTTTAGTAACTAACCATGTCACGATGCGACTTCTTTCATCGTTATACCGCCTTTTCGTCACCGTTTTCTCTGGTTTCTGGCCACTTACTTTTGAAATTTTGAATCGTTCTCTAATTCTTTTTCTTCGTCATTCTTACTTTGCTTCGATCCGTCGTCACTCCCATCAAAATTCTCGAAGAGAAAAGACGTGTCCTTCAATCCCGTAAAACTAACTATTTATAAAGCCGCAATATTTATACGAATACAGGCCCTTTTGAGGTAAATGGTTACTTTATATTCATCCATAAGCATATATTTAGTAGCAGTAGAGTTCCTTGTGAAAGAGTTTATCCAGGGAAGTACTGCCACCTTACCTATTTCTGCGGCCAAGCAGTAATTTAAGCATTACTGCGTTCCGGTTTTGAAGGATGCTGGTAAAATTACAGGCACATGGGACTTGTGAACTTATGTCTCAGGGTGACAGGCGCGGTGTCAGTGTCTTTGAGTACCACTGCAACTGCTATTTACAGGCAAGTCGCTTAACATCAGGCGCATGACTCGTTCGCCCCATCACTTGGTATTATTAAAAAAAAGTAATAAAGAATGTGTGTTTATGACAATGACGGCAGTAAGTATATGTCACATATCTCTCTCATACTATGATTTATTTTGTAATGTTTTAAGCGCCACTTATATCTAAAAAAAAGTAAACTCACACATTACTCGGAAGTTACGGTTTGGAATTGTTTCATCATTTTCAACTGAAACATGTGTTGGAAAGATGTAACAAGTTAATCTCAGTTTCAAACATGTGTTAAATTCATTAGTGGAGTTACATATTTGTATTGAATGAAGATAGTACTTCCTGTGTAAAATATATTAATATTAACTAAACAAATGTGTAAAAGATATTAAAGATAAACAGCTTACACCAGCAGCATATATATCATTTTGTTCAAAAAGGTTTATGGTAAGAGGAATTGTTCTTATACATATGCCTATTACTGGCATACACAACTTTGTAGAAATTAATTGGTATACAACTATATACACGTTAATTGAAGAAGGAAAATATTATAAAAAATATATAATTATAAACAAAACAAGGGATCGTTCCTTTTTTTTAACAAAACAAAAATAAATATTTAAAACTTAAAACACTTACAGATTTAACGAATATAGATTTACAAATTATAATGTGGCTTCAAAATATTGTCAGCAGTTTTATTTTACACTCTTTTAGGGTATCGTTGAAGATATCCAGCTCTGGTTGTTTTACAGACAAACGGTTGTAATGGGAATACATTCTCGAGAGTGGATAATGAAAACCTAAATTAGTTCGGCATGGGGGAATATTAAAAAGTTTTGCTAAGCGAGATCTGGGCTATTTGTATGGTACTGAGAGCTTTATGTTTTCGAGTATTGCAGAACTTGATACCTCATCATTTACTAATTTATGTAGAAAAGACAAGTCAGCTATATATAATTCGTCGATTTCGTAATGTGGATATTTAAAAAAAAAATATTCTTTGGTCATAAGGATGTCTATGTGATATGTTGGGTGAAATAAACGCTACATACAAAAGGTACATTGGATTCCACACTGTGGAGGCAAATTCAAGGTGAGAGCGAACTAGACTATTACTACAGTACGATTTTCGTATCGAGTTGATTGAAATTACGCG